ATGCCGGGGCAAAATTAGAAAGGCAGAGGCACAAAATGAGCTCAAACTAACCACAGACATAAAGGGAAACAAGAAGATATTCTATAAATATATTATAAGCAAGGGGAAGACCAAGGACAGGATAGGCCCATTGCTCAGTGAGGAGGGAGAAACAGTAACAGGAAACTTGGAAATGGCAGAGATGCTTAATGACTTCTTTGTTTCATTTTTTGTCAAGAAGATGGATGGTGGTGGGATGCTTAACATGGCAAATGTTACTGAAAATGGGGTAGGTTTAGAAATTAAAATAAAAGAACAAGTTACAAATTACTTAGAAAAGTTAGATGTCTGCAAGTCACCAGGGCCTGGTGAAATCCATCCTAAAATACTCAGGGAATAGATAGAGGAGGTATCTGAGCCTTTAGCTAACATCTTTGAAAAGTCAGGAAAGTCAGGATTCCAGAAGACTGGAAAAGGGGAAATATAGTGCCCATCAATAAAAGGGGAAATAAGAACAACCCAGGAAACTACAGACCAGACATTTTAACTTCTGTTAAGGGAAGAGAATGGAGCAAGTAATTAAGGAATCCATCTGCGAACATCTGGAAGAAAGTAAGATAATAGGTAACAGCCAGCATGGATTTGTAAACGACAAATCATGTCAAACCAATCTGATAGCTTTCTTTGATAGGATAATGAGTCTTGTGGATAAGGGAGAAGTGGTGGACATGGTATACCTAGACTTTAGTAAGGCATTTGATATGGTCTCACATGACCTTCTTATCAATAACCTAGGGAAATGCAACCTAGATGAGGCTATTATAAGGTGGGTGCATAACTGGCATGCTAGCCATTCTCAGAGAGTAGTTATTAATTGTTCAGAATCCTGCTGGAAGGGCATAACAAATGGGGTTCCCCAAAGGTATGTTTTGGGACTACTTCTGTTCAATATCTTTATCAACGATTTAGATGATGGCATAGAGCAGGGGTGGGCAATCATTTTTAATGGGGGAGGGCACTCTAAGATTTTGGCAAATGGTCAAGAGCTGTATTTCTACCAAAGGGGTTTGGAGTCTGGGACAGAGGTTGGGTGTAGAAGGGAGCTTGGGCTAGGACATTGAGTTGCAGAAGGGGCTGTGGAGTCTGAGAGGGAGATTGGGTGAAGGAGGGGATTGTGATCTATGGCAGAGATTTGGGGTGCGGAGTCCAGAAGGGATTATGGGTGCAGGAGAGAATTCTGGCCTGGGGGAAGTGTGTAGGAGGGGGTGCAGGGACTGGGAGGGTGTTGTGACCTGGGGAATGTGGTCCACAGAGTGGACCACAAGCTAAATATGAGTCAACAGTGTGATGCTGTTGAAAAAAAAAGAAAACTTGAGTCTAGGATGCATTAACAGGAGTGTTGCGAGCAAGACTCAAGAAGTCATTCTTCTGCTCTAGTCTGCATAGATTAGGCCTCAACTGGAATATTGTGTCCAGTTCTGGGCACCACATTTCAAGAAAGATTTGGAGAAGGTCCAGAGAAGATCAACAACAATGATTAAAGGTCTAGAGAACATGTAATGTGAGGAAAGACTGAAGGAATTGAGCTTGTTTAATTTAGAAAAGACTGAGAGGGGATATGATAGCGGTTTTCAGATTTCTACAAGGGCGTTACAAGGAGGAGGGAGAAAAATTATTCTCCTTGGCCTCTGAGGATAGAAGAAGAAGCAATGGGCTTAACTGCAGCAAAGGAGGTTTAGGTTGGACATTAGGCAAAACTTCCTAACTGGTTAAACACTGGAATAAGTTGCCTAGGGAGCTTGTGGAATCTCCATCCCTGAGGATATTTAAGAACAGGTTAGACAGACCTCTATCAGGGAGGGTCTAGACAATGTTTGGTCTTGCCATGAGGGCCAGGGACTGGACTCACAAGGTCCCTGCCAGTTCTGCGATTCTATACTGCAGGACTAAGGGCTGTGTTTCCTTTCAGGATAAATTCTGCCTAGGGGAATTCTTTTGGCTTTGGTTGGTGGATTTGTTTGCTTCAGATGGAGTGGGGTTTTTGGGAAGTGATATGGCATTGTCTAGACAATGTTTGGTCTTGCCATGAGGGCCAGGGACTGGACTCACAAGGTCCCTGCCAGTTCTGCGATTCTATACTGCAGGACTAAGGGCTGTGTTTCCTTTCAGGATAAATTCTGCCTAGGGGAATTCTTTTGGCTTTGGTTGGTGGATTTGTTTGCTTCAGATGGAGTGGGGTTTTTGGGAAGTGATATGGCATTTAGATGTATTTGGGCATACCCCGTAGGGAGAGGAGCAGTGATATGTCATATGCAATCAGAAGTTTTAGCAGCCTAAAGACCCCCTCATTGAGGGCTACTATTGTTTCTATGGCAAGGATGGGCAATAATTTTAATGAGGGGAGGGGGGCACTCCAAGAATTTGGTTAGTGGTCGCAGGCAGCATTTTTCCGATGTATTAATGAAGAAGGTGTGGGGGTCTGGGATGGAGGTTGGGTGCAGAAGGTAGCTTGGGGTAAGGGACTGGGATGTGGGATATGGGAGGGAGTTTGGGTGAAGTGGGGAATTGTGACCTGGGGTAGCAAACTGGGATTCAAGGGGGGGCAGGGTTTGGGAGGGAAGTGAAACCTGCAGTAGGGTTACAGAGGTTTGGATTCTGACCTGGGACAAGATTGGGGTGCAGGGTCTGGAAGAGATATGGGGTGTAGGAGAGGATTCTGGCCTGGGGGAGGTGTGTAGAAGGAGGGAGTGCAGGGTCTGGGAGGGGGCTGTCACTTGGGGCAGGAGTGCAGGGATTTGGGATGTGATCAGGGATAGTGGATTGGAATGCTGTGACCTGCAAGTGGATGCAGTGTCTGGGAAGATGTATTAGGGCTGGGGCACAGTTGCAGGGTGCAGGAGGGAGGCAGAGGATTAGGGGAGGGAGGAGCTGGGGTGCCAGAGGCAGGCTCTCTCTGGGAGACCTTACCTGGGTGGCTCCCAGCTGGCAGCCCAGCAGGTTCCTTAACCAAGGTCCCTGCCTCCATGCCTCTTTACTGCTCACCGCAGCTACAGGAGGCATGTTTACTACTGCTGGGAACACTATGAGCCAGGGGATAACGGGGGAGGGGGCACTTCATATGCTGCCTGTCCTACAAACAGGCAGCTGCTGTTGGCTGGAAACCAACCAATGGGAGCTACTGGGGCAGGAGCAGTGTGAGAAGCCTCTGCCCCCTCCCCCAGGCCCTCAGCATTCACAGAAGCACATGGCCCTGCAGCCAGAGGATCAAGCAGGGAACTGGCTGAGGCTCTCGTGGGCCGAATCTGGCCCACAGATGACATTTTGCCCAGCCCTGCTCCATGGCCTATTTTAGTCCATATCCTCTTTCTGAAATTTGTACACCAGCCACTTGGGAGTTCACTCCACATATTCATCATATACTAGCATCCCGCTCTGAGGCTGGGGGCATGGTGCTACAGTCTTTAATGAATTAAGAGTTCCTCTGCCCACTTTCCCTCTCTCCTGGACAGCTCCAGAGTCTCCCAAGAGTAGGAATGCACAGAGGCCCATAAGAAAGAAAAGTCACTCAACAGAAAAGCCATGGCTGTTTGAGAGTTGCGTCTCTCCTTTGCCACGCCCCACCAACCTTCCCCTCTGTCTTGGCACTCTCGATACCTCTTGCACCTTGCTGTGCTAGCTGTTCTGCGCCATGGGAGCTAGGTGGGAAGGTGCTCATGCAGTCCCAACAGTGCACTTTTCAAGGTGGCTCTGCAAGCTCAAGGTTGGTAGATTGGGGATGCCCGGAGACAGCTCTCAAGTTCTCATAGTCATTGGTTAGTAACATTTCTTTCTTTGCACTTGGAGACGTGATGCTTAAATATTGACAGTGTTAGCCTGGCTTGCAGATAGCCTGAGGTGGGTCTGGTGTGAATATGGCTGGCCTTAATATGAATTAGTGACACCTTTTCCTCTCATTTCAGAGCAGGTTTAGGATTGATTTTTTTGTTTGGTTGGTTTGGTTTTAAAGTTGTTTTGTTTCTTTTCAGTACAAAGCGTTTAATTGTAGATGTAATCCGCTTTCAACCAGGGGAGACACTGACTGAGATCCTGGAAATTCCAGCCACCCATGAGCAGGTATGAAAAAGGAGTAGGGCTCCACTCCGTAGGGTACTGGATTCATTTCAATCTAGCCATATGTGGTGCCGGTACCTACGAAAGCCCAAATCACAGGGGCCATGTCTACACTCATGGCTTCTTGCGCGAGTAATATGCAACTGAGGCTAAACGTGGAATATCGCAGCGCCTCATTTACATACCTAATGAGCCACCATTTTTTTCAGAAGAGGCTCTTGCACAAGAAGGAGCGTCTACACTGCCCCTTCTTGCGCAAGAAAAACCCTCTTGCGCAATGCCGTTACACCTATTACTTTTCAGGAAGAACGGCATTGCGCAAGTGGGCTTTTCTTGTGCAAGAAGGGGCAGTGTAGATGCTCCTTCTTGCGCAAGAGCCTCTTCTGAAAAAAATGGTGGCTCATTAGGTATGCAAATGAGGCTCGGCGATATTCCACGTTTAGCCTCATTTGCATATTACTTGCACAAGAAGCCATGAGTGTAGACATAGCCAGGGTGTAGTATGTGTGGCATATCAATATTTGAGACCTCTGAATGTCCAATAGTGATGGGGATATATGGTGTATTTGGAACAGAGCTGGAACAATTGTCAGCATCAGGGCTGCCAGAACAGCTGACTGGTGGCCAGTCCCAGGGCCACAGAGTAGCAGTTGCAAGAACTGCTGACCAGTGGCCACCAGATCAGCTGATGGGCAGACAGCCCCATGACTGTGGGCAGCTGGCCAACCAGCAGTCAGTCCCATGGCTTCTTGGAATAGCGATTGTGATGGGGCCACCAGAACAGCTAATGGGCAGATACCCCAGGGCTGTTGAACAGATGACTAGCAGCCAGTTCCAGGCCTGCTGGACAAGTGTCTAGGAATGGATCAGCCCCCAGGGCTGGAGCAGCACAGCAGTCGGCCCCTGTATCTAGAGCAGCAGCAGCCCTGGGAATACTGCCCCTCTCAGAGGATTTTTCATGCAAGTCAGAGTCAGGTTATGGGCTTCCATGAGATTGTGTTTATTGCCCTCAGCCTGTCCCTGACTTTTACTCAGAATGCCACACAGAATGTGAACCTTTCATAGAGCCTTTACTACATCCACTCAACTTGTAATTCTCTTCCATCCTAGGAAGCAGAGCACCAGAGAGCTATGCAGAGAAGGGCCATTCGTGATGCCAAAACCCCCGACAAGATGAAAAAATCCAAATCTGTAAAGGAGGACAGTAACTTAAACCTTCAAGAAAAGAAGGAGAAAATCAAGACAGGCTTGAAGAAGTTGACAGAACTGGGAACTGTGAACCCAAAGAATAGATACCAGGAGCTAATCAATGATATTGCCAAGGTATTCTGGCAGGAGATCACTTGTGCTTTATTAGGTGTTTCAAGTTATGGCCTCAATTTGTCACTCGTATGAAAATTGTAATAGTGCCGATGGCAGGAATTTCCTAAGGTATTTAAATAATAGTGACAGCTGCCTCTCAGAGATGAGTAACACATCCCTCTGCTAGTAAGCTCTCCGTCCCTTCACCTACGTGCAGGAATTCACTTTTTTCATAAGCATTTTATTGATGGGGCCTCATGGACTGTGAGGAAGAGTGGCTTTATTTTCTTGGGAAGAAATCCTGGGAATCAGTAAGTGTAACATAAATTTTTCTCTCTCTAACTTCAGACCCTAATATATGGTCTTGCCCTCTTTGTTCCCTCCTTTTTATATTTAAAATTACTTATTCTAAAATATTTTTTAAATTAATCTATTCTAAAAATATTTATTTATGAAGATTATTCATTTCTAGAAACGTTGTGCATGTAATTGTGAAATAAAGCTTCATAATACTCCTGCAAAGGCACTCTCAGTAAACAATACTGTGTGGAGGAGAAAGGGAGAAATAAAAAAACATAGCTGCTGTCACATCCTTTATTGTAGTGTTGACAGTTATTGGACATCAAATGTTTACCAAAATTAATGCATCAGAGGGTATACAAATACAGTAGTAAAATAAATTGTCTCCTTTTAGAGATTAAGTAAGAATAAATCCTTTAATGATGCGTAATTATTCAAAATATTAATGGAAGTTAATTTGGAAACTAGGCATTTTCATCTCTGTTAATTAATAATCAAAATAACATTTCTAAAAATAAAAAATATCGAGGAAAGAAATGAAAAAATTTGCACCAGTTTTATTAAACATACATCTCAGGACATTTGATTTCTGACTGGAAGGATATATTGGGTTGGAAGGCTTGTGAAAGGGCTAATTAATTTCTATGTACAATTTGGAAATGTATGTTCCAAATGGAATCTTTGAATATCATATGCTGGCTTCACAAGGGAGCACCCAACAGTGACTCCATGGTAAAGCTTCACACATCTACCACCCTTATCTAGGACATCCGGAACCAGCGTAGATACCGTCAGAGGAGAAAGGCAGAGCTGGTGAAGCTGCAGCAGACTTACAGTGCACTGAACTCCAAAGCCAACTTTTATGAGGAACAAGTGGACTATTATAAAAGCTATATCAAAACCTGCTTGGATAACTTGGCCAGCAAGGGCAAGTGAGTACCTCAGAGCAGTACTGGGTGTTAGGAAAGGAATGCGTAGACCACAGCAGGGACTGAACTCTCTAGCATCTTCCCCCTCTTGTGCATGTTTAGCTTCCGCCATTTGATTTTTATCTAAAGAACTGATCTAATTTTTCTTCGTGAAGTGAAGTTATATAAACAGGTGAAGTCTGCATATAATCGTTATTTGAGTCTTACTGTCTTCTGTAGGGTTGATATAGATATGAATGATGTGGGGAAAAGAGTGGAGCATTGTGGAATTTGGTCTTTCTGTTACCTTGTGCTCCTACTATTCCTTTGTGATATTTTTGTGTTGCCTCATCTTCTACGTAGGTTATAAGCGGTCGGGTGAAGAACTGTGTTTTTATTATGTTTGTACGGTTTTCAGCACCCAGGGGCAGGAGCCTCTAATCTGTCACAGTGCAAATAATAAATACCCTCAAACCTCTTTAAGCCAGCAGTCCTGGGAAACAGGGTTAGACAGACTGTGCTGTGTGAGTGAGGGTGATGGGGATCAGGTGCTAACCTGGTGCCTCATTGCCTCTCAGGCATGGCAGTGGGGAAAAGTCTCTGGCAGAGCATGTTACTATGCTGCCATTCCCCCAAGTGGGAGGAGGGGAAGTGGCAGCATGCAGAGCCGCCTCAGCCTTCGCTTGCCAGGGTCTGTACCACAGGTGTTTTCGAATTAGGCACACTTAGAGTACGGAGCTTATAGTGTAATCACGTCTACAGGGGCGAGATCTGGAAGAACTATTTCCCATGAATGATCCTTTCAATATAGTTAGTGAATAAGAGAGGATGAAAGCCAACTCAGTTTGCAGCCACTTACTCCTGTCAGCTCTCTGAGCTGAACCAGCAGCATATTGTGGTCTACCCTCTGATAGTTGAGGTAATTCATATTTTGAATTCCTTCTGGACACTTTACTGCTTCTGGGTCCCCAGAGAGCAATGAACAGAAGTAGCTGTTCCCAAATTTTAACAGTGAGTTGATAAATCATTGGAACAGCTTTCCAAGGAATGTGGTAAATTCACTGTCCTTTGAAATGTTTAAATCAAAATTCGCTGTCTTTCTGAAAGGTGTATGATCGTTTACAATATTGGAGTTGCTTCAGGAATTACTAGGTGAGGTTGTGCAGCCTCTGTTGTGCAAGATCTCAGTAGATTATTATAATGAGTGCAGTATAGACATGTGCATGTACCTATACATATAAATAGACTATAAACATAACTATTTGTTAGATAATACCAGTTTATTACTCATTTCCTGTCATCCACCCAGATCAGATCAAATTCTGTCATTGTTTGAACTCACTCTTATTGTCTTGTTCCGTAATTTCATTATTTGCTTTTCTCAGAGTTTCTAAGAAGCCACGGGAGATGAAAGGCAAAAAGAGTAAAAAGATTTCCCTGAAATATACAGCAGCCCGACTCCATGAGAAGGGAGTTCTGCTGGAGATTGAAGATCTGCAAGTAAACCAGTAAGTAGCCTTTTCACCTCTCAGCATGAAGTCCAAGGATGCTTTGCTGAGTATAGAGAAACAAGTGATCATTGTTTCATCATCTCCTGCTTGAAAACATGTTTTCCAGAGCTTCAGTGTAGAGCAGTGGTTCTCTGCCTACAGGCTGCTTGTAAACACCCCTTTAGATACTTGAAAACTGCTATCATGTCCCCTCAGTCTTCTCAAAATTAAACAAGCCCAAGTCTTTCAGCCTTCCTTTCTAGGCCTTCTGCTCTTCTCTGGACCTTCTCCAATTTCTCCACATCTTTCTTGAAATGTGGTGCCCAGAACTGGACACAATGCTCTGAGGCCTAATCAGCGCAGAGTAGAGTGGAAGAATGACTACTTCTCCGAGAGATGTCGCTGGGGGTGCTCCACGTTAGGTCAATGCACCGCTGCTGAGCCTCAGAGCGGAGATTTCAAAGCAGTGTCCCTGGGGCCGCACACATGCGCACCAGTAGCCACACGCTGTTAGGCTGCAGGCATCGCACATGAGCGAGACCCCCCACCCTCATCCCCACTCCTCAGTTCCTTCCCTACCACCTCTGGCTATGGATGGACTCAGCAGTGCTCCCTAGCTTTTTCGCATCTGTATGATTACACTTCTTGAAAACCAGTTACATTCATTATAGTAGTTAATTAGTGAGTTTAAAGTTAAAACAAAAAAAGCAGTCATGTAGCATTTTAAAGACTAACAAGATGGTTTATTAGGTGATGAGCTTTCGTGGGGCAGACTCACTTCAGATCATATTCTGAAAGAAGAAGTGGGTTTGCCCCACGAAAGCTCATCACCTAATAAACCACCATCTTAGTTTGTAAAGTGCTACATGGCGGCTTTTTGTGTTTTACCAAGATCAGACTAACATGGCTACCTCTCTGTTACTTTAAATAGTTAATTAGTTTGTTAGTTTAAAAACAAATCTAGATTAGTATAAGAGGTTTTTCTTTTTTCTCCCAGTTAATCCCTTCCTGCAGTCTCTGATTGCTTCCATAGGCATGCCTGGCTCACCGGGGTTTAAGCGCTGCACCTATCCCATATCTGATGGTCACTCAACAATGCATCTGCTGCCTCAGAGAGCAGCATAACTCTCAGAAATGCCTTCATTGTGCAAAGCTAAAATCACGGGTGCAGAAAGACAGAGACCTCCGCCTCCAGTTATTTTTATTGGAAAACCCGCTTACCAGCCTCTAATATGGGCCAGCAGCCCGAAGAATTCAAGCATTGTTGTAAATTCTCAACACTACCAATATAAAGTGCTTCCATTCAGACACTTTCTCACCCCGAGGGTCTTCTCAAAGGTGCTGGCGGTTGTCACAGTGTACCTGAGGAAACAAAGAATTATCATATTTCCTTACCTCCTCAAGTCGCACTCACACAGTGATTCCTGTCGGTCACAAGACACCTATTCTGACACCTTGGCCTTCAGGTGAACAAAACTAAATCAATGCTCTCTCCTACACAAAAGATAACAGTTTATAGGAGCATCCCTCGATTCGACAATGGCCACCGCATCCCTACCTACAGACCATTTTAAAAAAATTATGGCCTCGGTGAATACCTTACGATCCAACCCCACATAACAGCACTCGAATGCCTTCGGCTGTTGGGGCACATGGCTGCGTGCAACTTAGTAGTCAGCAATGCTCGTCTGCACATGAGATGTTTGCAGAGCTGGCTGGGACAGGTGTACAAACCCAATGTCCATCCACTATCCAAATCCTTAGCCCTCCCAGGGATAGTAAAGGAATCTTTATGCTGGTGGCTGAGCCCAGGGAACCTTTGTTCCAGAGTCCCCTTCCACCCACCAGAACCATCCGTTCCCATGATAACAGATGCATCTAATACAAGATGGGGCGCCCGCTTACGACATCATACCTGCCAGGGCCTGTGATCCAGCACCAACAAGAACTTGCACATAAACATCCTAGAACTGCAGGCAGTCAGGGATGCATGAGTCAAATTCCTCCCATTCATCGTTAATAGCCATGTCAAAACTGTGCATAGAGAATGTTGCAGCAGTGTTTTACATAAATCGTCAGGGCAAAACCTGATCCCGAGCACTTTGCACAGAAGCCATAGTGCTTTGGAACTGGTGCCTGCAACACAACACAGTTATCACCACAGTGCATCTTCCAGGCACCATGAATACAACGGCAGATGCACTTAGCAGAGCCCTTCTGACCGAACACGAGTGGCAAATGAACCCGCACATATTGGCAGACATATTCCGCCTGTGGGGTCACCCAGCCATAGACCTGTTTACCGTGCAAACCAGCAAGAAATGCCCCCTATTCTGTTCCAGGGAGGGCATAGGCAAGGGATCAATGGGAGATGCCTTCCTCATTGCATGGGCGTCCCACCTATCCTACGCCTTCCCTCCTGTACCCCTATTGAACAGAGTCATATAGCTCCAGCATGGCCAGCCAGCCATGGTTCCCCTTCCTAGTGGCGATTCTCACGCCCCCACCGATCCTCCTACCTTGCATCGAGATTCTCCTTCTTCACCTGGGCTCCCACGCCATCCAACTGAACCTCCACTCGCTTTCTTAGCGGTTCTTAAAGGGTGTGCAGGCACTTTGTCCAGATATCAATCCACCAATGCAACCGTGGAACTTGCATTTAGTACAGCCTCTCCCCGACTTACGAACCAGTTATGGACCAAGCAGTTGGTCGTAACTCGGTTTGTTTGTAAGTCAGACCCTGTTGACTTACATGCGACCGCGCTGTTTGTAAGCGCGGATCGCGTTCATAACTCGGGGTCCACCACTTACGACAGCTTTGGTCGACTTACGGCTGTTCACAACTCGGGGACCAGCTGTATTGAATGCTCTAACTAGGCCACCTTTCGAACCAGTGGCGACCACCTCACTACTACACTTGTCCATGAAAACTGTTTTCCTCGTAGCTATTACTTCAGCCAGATGGTTAGGAGAGATTGCAGCCCTAATGGCAGATTCCTCCTCTTTCTCCCCCACCCCTCTGCCATACACCACCTTTTTTAAAGACAAGGTCATGTTACATACCCATCCCAAATTCCTCCCCAGAGTTCACTCATCCTTTCACATCAGTCAGACAATACGCCTTCCCACCTTCTTCCCTAAACCACACACCAATTCTTTTGCACACTCTTGACCTGCACAGAGTACTTTCTTTTTTACCTGCAGTGAACAGATTATTTGTTTCAATAGCAGACCACAACAAGGGCCAGGCCATCTCATCACAGAGACTCTCCCACTGGATCTCAGATTGCATCAAGCTCTGCTACGCTGTCAGACGTACTGCCTCCAGATAGCATAAGGGCACACTCAGCCAGAGCCCTGACTACCCCGATAGCATTCCTCCACAAAATCCCTATAAAAGAGATCTGCACAGCTGCCGCGTGGTCCTCTGACTACACACTTGCAATGCGTTACGCACTTACGCAGGGACCTCTTTCCAATCTGAAACTAGCTAAGGGTAGTCCTTTCTACCACTTTTCTGCCAGATTCGAAGTCTCTACCCCCCTGAAGGGAAATAGCTTTGTAGTTACCTAATGTGGAGCACCCACGGGAACATCTCTCTCTCGAAGAGGATTCTCACCTCGATAGTAACAGATGTTCTTCGAGATGAGTGTCCCCGTGGGTGCTCCACAACCCTCCTTTCCTCCCCTCTACTTCAGGATCCTGGCCTTCTCAAGCCATCGATTCAGGGTAGAGAGGAACTGAGAGTGGGAGGGGGGCTTGCGCATACACGATGCCTGCAGCCTAACAGCGTGTGACTGGTGGTGCACGCATGTGCAGCCCCAGAGAGACTGCTATGAAATTTCCACTCTGAGGCTCAGTGGCGGTGCACTGACCTAATGTGGAGCACCCACGGGGACACTCATCTCGAAGAACATCTGTTACTATCGAGGTGAGAATCCTCTTCGAGAGAGAGCAACCTAGAATCATATTTGCTTTTTTTGCAACAGCATCACACTGCTGACTAATATTTAGCTTGTGGTCCATGGTGACCCTACATTTTTTTTCTGCAGTGCTCCTTCCTAGGCAGTCGACTGCTTCCCATTCTGCTGATTGTTCCTTCCTAAGTGGAGCACTTTGCATTTCTCTTTATTAAACCTCATCCTGTTTACCTCTGACCATTTCTCTAACTTGCTAAGGTCATTTTGAATTTTGTCCCTATCCTCCAAAGAAGTTGCAACCTCACCCAGTTTGGTATCATCTGCAAACTTAATAATCATACCCTGTATGCCAATATCTAAATCGTTGATGAAAATCTTAAACAGAACCAGCCCTAAAACAGACCTCTGCAAACCCCACTTGTTATGCATTTCCAGTATGACTATGAACTATTAATAACTACTCTCTGAGAACAGTTATGTACCCACCTTATAGTAGCCCCATCTAGGTTGTATTTTGCTAGTTTATTGATAAGAAGGTCATGCAAGACCATATCAAATGTTTTACTGAAGTCTAGGTATACTGTGTCCTCTGCTTCTTCCTTATCCACGCGGTGGGACTTGAGAGTATTCATTTGGAGACAGCTGAGGCTGAGGAAGCAATCCCATTACAAAATACTGCTGACACAACACTGGTGGAGGAAATGGCTCTGTCTCGGGACACTGGCAGCTGGTCACTTCTGGCAGCAGGCAGTGCTCCACTCCTGCTCCCAACCCTCCCACCGTGGTTCTGGCAAACTGTTAGGCTGTTCTGGATGCAGGAGATAAGGAATCGCCCCCTGTAGCAGAAGAGGAGAAGCCTTGTACTAAGGCTTGGAGGGCTGTAGTGATCACTGCGAGGAAGAAATGTAGGGTAGTGGTGGTTGGAGACTCTCTTCTGAGAGGGAGGGAGGCACCCATCTATCTCCCTGACATATCATCTTGGGAAGTATATTGAATGTTGGCACGCCAGCCCGAGTGTAGAACAAGTTAAAAATCACTTAGGAAAGTTAGATGTCAGCAAGTCACCAGGTCCTGATGAAATGCATCCCAGGATACTCA